ACAGATCAAGCCCTCAAAGCTTAGACTCCCCCAGTAAGAACTGATTACGTCTTACCGAGTACAAGAATTCACCTAGAGAAATCTAAATCTAGAAGAAGGAAAATTAAATGAAGTAGAGGAAATCAACCTTTTCTATACTTAACATATGCCATTCACTGAAACAAACTTTTGAGACTTTAACTTGAATTTAACTACTGAAGTTCTAAAGTGAAGACGACATGGATTTTCAGAAGGCCGGAACTAATATTAGAATTTATAATAGCAGAATTAAAAGTTCTGGTTGGTAGAGAGTTTGGTTACCTACCAGAAATGGAGTAAGGAAGGATCCCCAGGACTAGAAAAAAAATATAACAGAAAGAAACATTAAAGAGATGCTTATGGTTATACTGCAAATTGACAGCATTCTCGCTAAAGATATATTGTCATTTTAAAGGGGTGGTAGGAAACCCAAAAATCTACTTTCTAAAAAACCACTCACTTTATTGGAGGCCGTAAGTGTGACATGCCTTTTTTTTTCTTCTTCTTATTTTAATGTTTCAAGGTAAATTTTACCACATTCGGAGATTCTATTTAGATTTGTTCAGACAATTGCATTTTTATCATACTCTGCTTTTGTTTTGTTTTGATTTTTGTTTTAATGAAGCCATGTAACTTTTGTGGTTCATTTTTTGAATGTTATCTTACTCTGTTTCAGAACTGTATTACCTATTTACTTTGGCATTCTGTATTTGCACGTAATGAGCTGACCTCTTCATGTCCATACTGAAGTTCTCTTTCATTCAAATCTACTAGGAATGGACAGAAGTATAAACTTTATTCGTTTTATAAAAAGACAAAACAAGAACTTGTGCCCTACTGACTTTTCAGAATAGGAATGAGAAGTATGGAAAATAAATAGTGGATATCTGTGCATAAGTGAGAGTCACACCGCTTAAGCAAATAAAGCTGGTATTAACAAATTTCTACTTTACTCCAGCTTCTTTTCTCCTTCTGCCTTAGTTCTCAGAAACCGCAGGGAACACACAAGAGTTTACATGTTTTTTTAAGTAGCCAATAGAAGCCTCTCCATTTCAAAGGCACAAATCATTTCCCTCAAATTCAGCAGAATTATACACAAAGTATTTCAATTTTATACTCTAAAAGTTACTTTCCCTCAACTCACATATAGCAATGAAAGCTGAGAACTGAACCTGAATAAAAATATACATTACCTACTTCAATTATTTCTTCATCAATCGTCTTACAACCCACAGACACAGTAATACTGCCATTTTCTTCTCTTTACCCCTTTCCTCCTCAATATATCCATACCTTCCTCCAGCTGCTGCTGGTTGCTTTCACATAAATAAAAGTCAGCCCACTTTAAAGTCTCACCACCCCAAGTTATTTATAACCACAGGGAAGAGAAGGTGATTTGGTAAAGTTCCTGTCTGGTGACTATTGAAGCTCTTTTGTTCTCTCTCCCACGACTATAAAGGCAGACCAGATCCTTAATGTAGTATAATATTCAGTGGTATGAGTAGTCTCCCAGGCTAAAGGTCCTATCTCACAGTACCTACTATAACTTTTTTTTTTTTTTTTTTAAGATGTTCAGTAATGCAGCAGTTATGAGTTGATTTGCCCAGATATAGAAAGTAAAGTTAATTTCATTGGCTACAACATGATCAAAAGTTCTGGAAGCTCCTGTTTTAAAAGCAATCTGTTAGGAAGCCTCCAGCAGACAACCCTGGCTGCTAAACCCCGCTGATCTCTATATTCTTCATGCTGATATATAAATTAATGTTAAATTACTGACTGCATGCATCCAGAATTACATGTTCCAGTACTACACTGGAAACTTATTCTATTAACCTTGTTCAGATTTAATATAATTCCAATCCATGTTTACTGCAATATTATATCATTGCATTTATCTATTTGTTTCTTAAGTTACATAAAAAAAATGATACAACACCCTGATCCAAGAATAACAGGAAAAATAAATTAAGCTAGCATGTCAATCAGAATTTCACAGGTAGATTCCATGTGCAAGTCTCGGGTAGTGGTGAACTGCATTTATTCACTCATGTCCTCTAAGTATTTAATATCAGCAAGTCTTACTTGAAATAAAAGAAGATTTCATGTGCTTGGCACATGTATTTCTGAAACAAGTTTTAAACTCACATACACAGAAGTTATACCATTAAATGGAAAGCAGGCCTATTTCCACTGTTCCCTGCACGATGCCTGCGTTCACTTATCCGGCTGTTAGTTCTACAAGATTCCAATTTGTGTGTAATCAATTTACTTATTTTCAGTATTTCAGTAGTGAAATAAGAAAGCAGACTCTTCTCCCACATGACATTGCTTGAATGCAAACCAACCGAACTAAATATAAAAGTGAACCTTTTATGCAGTACACACACTCAAAAATCATGCTGAAGCCCACAGGAACTGCGTGTGGCTATTTAACATGGTTAAAAGAGTGAATTTATATAGTCAGCCTATTTTTCTACGCTAGCGTGTGATAAAAGTATTTTCAGCATATGATAAATGCATCTTCTTTTACTTGATTGTCTCTAGATATAAGATGAAGAGAAAACGGTCAGTGAATGAAAAAACAATTGCACCCAACAGAAGCAGGAACAGCAGAGCTGGCTAGTATGAGACAGCACCAGGCTTCTTGTGCAAACTGAAGAAATGCTTTTTGCATGCAGCTGAAAATTACACAGATGTTATCTACCAGAAAAAAAGGACTTGTACGGCTAAAAGCATTTGAGGATATCTGTTCCAATATAAGAATGCAAAATCCTTCCAAAATCCTTCCTTTTTAGGTAATCCAACATGTGTCTGAGTACAGGCATGTTTGCAGTGGGGAGAGTTCTGACTACATGGGATTATCCATAGAGAAATGTACATTGTTTGAACACTGTGAAGAGTTTGGAGTACCTGGGATGTGGCCAAGGGTGAAACACAAACTTCTTCTCAAAGCCCAGTCAGTGAGGTTCAGAGAGTCCCTACATCTTGCTGGCATGAACTGAAGGTAAGAACTCTCGCTAGGTCACAAAAAGAAGACCACAGCTGCAGAAAACATAATCAAGCTACTCAAGTCCAAGAGCAGTTAAGCATGGGCCTCCTTTAAACTATACAGTCAGAGCCCTTTGCCAAAAACAGAGTTAAAAGTGAAGGGGATTTTCTACAGTTCTAATATTTACAATTATTTGTACATATATACATATTTATATATTTATTTGTATCTGGACAATGTGACAGTAAAGGGATAATTAATAATTACAAATAAAACATTTTTAAAATGTATAACTATACCATGAAAGAAACCTCTTTTATTGCTTGCCTTCCAGCCTTATGCTCATAATCACACTATTGCACACATCTCCATATTACATGGAAGATCTACATTTATATATAAATATATATGAAAATAAGGATATTTTTATTTTAATTTTATGAGTAAAGTGCTTTTTTTTTTTTTTTTTTTTTAACTACTCTTGATGAGAAAGGCTTAATCTGAAAGCTTAACCAGAGGGACTTAAAGGGATACACACCTTGTCCATACTTCTCCCTTTATTTTGCTGACTTCTTTATTTTGCTGATGTTAACTCTGTCTTACCTATTCATTCTCTTCATAAAATGCATTTGTGACCTTGGCATCTATACAGTCACACAAAGTACAAAACAGAATCACATTAAAAGCAAAGAAAATACAAGAAAATAAAACAACAAATAAAAGCATTGTTTCTTGTTGTTGTTTTTAGCACATTTCCATGACTTAAGATACTCTTTTATTTGATTTTAGAAATATTTTTACAACTTTATTAAACTCTGAACATACCTATTTTATGCACTATACTCAAGTACTGTACAAAACTGCAATAAATGACACTATACGACTACATATGTCTACTAGAAGACATCATCATAAAGGTGTATCTTTTTCTAACGGTCAACTAATAACTGCTAATGTATGTGTGAATCAAAATATTTTTGATTGGCTACGTATACTAAATTCTAAATGGAGTACACAATTACTACTTACATCATGATTTACCAGGCATTTAGGGGCATAAAGAATCTTTGCAAAGGCTCAGATGAAAAACAATTTACTGATCAGTATTAAATGTTCATATAAAATTGCAAATGGCAGATCCAATTCTGTTATATTCATATATATGAAATACAGTTGATACCTACTGATGATGCATGACCTTTTATTAGAAAAATAACATTCAAATCTTAGCAAAACCATTTCTAGTATACAAAGTTGTTGTAAATTTATGTCAGCGAAATGTAAATTTGCAATTTACAAAAGCAGCAGTAAATTTTATTCATATGGACAATTTCCTGAACTTAAATCATGAGTTCTTGTTACTGTGAAAACATTGCTTCCTGGGAAAAATGCAGGCAAATCCTTTAACGGCAGATTTTATAACAACACTGAACAAGGAAAAGAATGTATTATGTTACTGATATACTTAACCTTGAAAAATTTCGGAGTGCTTTTATGAACCTGACAATAATCTGATTAAGAATAAAATCAAGAAGCAGAAAAATCAAGAAACAAAAATCCAACTTTGTTGAGCCAGACAACCTGGTTTAGCAACATCAAATTAAGAAAACAGTGAAGAGTGAAAGTTGATTAATATTAGAAATCTGATCAACACTTTTCTCTGAAATTAACTGTCATAGTTTATTAACAACTTCAAACAGGACAGAAGTAAGAAACCTGTGGCTTTTGCAATATAGTAGCCTTTACTACCTCCTCAGCCTAACTAGTATCCAGAATTATTGTGAACAGAACTGTACGACCTCCGTACTCTTATGTACATGGGTACTGCTACTGTATGAAACAATTACACTCTTAAAAAAATCATTTTTAAATGACAATTCCTTTCATTAAAGTAGAATTAGTTACTTTATAGAAAAATATTTTAACTTTAAATTAAAAAAATACTGTTCCTAAATAATTATGTAGGATCATCTTTATTTCTTTGTACGGAGAGAATATAATTCTGTATATTTGAATCCTAGTTTAACAGAGCTCCCCTGGGTATAACTTTTAAAGAGTTGGCTGTGTTTGCCATGGGTGCTATCTGTTTACAAACCCATGAATTAACACTGTGTCCCTCCTTTGGAGATACACAGATAAGACATCTATATACACTCTGTACATAATGGTTCACATATTAGCAGTTATTAGTCGTACTGTACATAGCAGACAACCTATCTGATTAGAATGATGTTTTAAGTCCTTAGTGCAATTCAGGTCTTAGGTTGATGGTGCAAAGCCAAGTAGGACAGGCTCCCTGTTTAAATATGTAGCCCAATACACTAAATTGAAAGTACCAAATAAGACTGGAAACACTATTCTAGACATTCTGTCAATTTTACTAACACTGTTGAATGTCTTCTTTGCTTCCTGTGGCTTCGCTTCCGGTTTTGCCTTGTTGGGTTCTGCAGTTGTAGCACTCTTGGAGATGGTTGGTAGAACTGAGTCCTTGGTAATATTTGGAGCGTAGTTGGCAACAGCCACTGCATAGGCATTGTTTTTCTTAATGACAGATGCTTTTTCTTTTTTCTATTAGAGACAGCATGAAGTTAAATAGTTAATGTGTATTTGCCATATCAGACAACATAATAAAAATTGCAAATGCAAAACAAACAATAAGTACATTAAAATAAGTGTCAGGAATAACAGCGGTAAATTCAAATTTAAAGAAAAACACATCCTACCCAAAAAGAAGGTATAATATATCACCCCCAAAAATTTCAGTAACAGCCTACATTTTTAAGTTATTATGTATTGTTCTTCATGCATTCAAAATACAGAGAAACCATCAGTAAATTAAACTTCACATCTACTACTATCATCTGGGAAGCAAAAAATTAGTATATCCTAATTTTAGGAGAACCACACAAGTAAGAGTACTCTTTGTCAAAAGAATTGCTTTTCCTTTAGTAGGATTAGGGATTGGGATCGGACAAAATTATTTAATCAATCAGAACAGTCTGCTTTAACATTTTTTTTTCTGTGACATTAAAGTGATAAACTATAAATTTTGACACAAATTTAGGAATATTACCAGTTAATTTTATTCAGCAAGTAAGAAGTTCTGTTTAAAATTTCTTCATGTTGTCACATCTACGTTTTACTACTAATACCAGAAAATTAAGGCATGTCTGTGCTTCCCTTCACTCTTCATAGTGAAGAAGTGCTCAAGATTTTGTAGAAGAGCTCTTTAAATTAAAAGTTAATGTTTATGTAACATTAGAGATAAATTTCAGAATTCCGAAAAACTTTCAATCTTCTAGATAAATTAGATGTTATTATTAGTTTTTATGTGTAGGTATATTCAGCTGTTTTTCTGACCCTTATTGACAAGGAAAATTAACATACATAATATCTTCCTCTAATATTCTTCTCTTTTTCAAATCAACTGGATTAAATAATAATAAAGTTGTCGACTAATATAATCTGGACTAAATTTTCTGAATGTCTGGAAAAAGAGTTTTATCTGAGGAGTCATTAAGTAAATTAGACAGTTCCCAATATATATAAAAAAACAAAAAAAAACAAAACAAAAAAAAAAAAAAACATGTATTAGATAATTAAATGTGGATTATTGACTCCAGACAACATTAGCTATACTTAGTGCAGGTATGGGCTAAATCTTAAATTTGTTTTCAACAGGAGTTTCACTCACTAGTAAAGATTTTTCAGTTTTAATGTGATATAAAGTCACAGTTCAAAGACAAAAATAATCACATAGATACCTCTTAAATATAACATGAAAGAGTTTAACTGTCTCCCAAGAAAGTACTTTTATGGTTTAATGATTCTGAGTTTCAACTTTATGTTCTTGATATAGTATAAATACCTCCTTTTATTTTTGCAGATATACTTTGTTGATAACAGTAATAATAAAATGCTCTATCAAGTCAACTTCTTTGTGAAGCATAACAATAAAGTATGCATCTCAAAATCAGCTAGAGTCTCTGAACTGGTTTACACTGTTGAAGGTTAAAAGATCTGCAGCACATTTCAGCATAGCAGAGATACAGGAGCATAAGACTACTTTTTCAACAGTGAGTATGCAAAGCAGGTTGGCACACAAAGCATATCTTATTCCTTCTACGCATAGGTGGGCTAGCCATACTTTGATTTTGTGCATGCACCTTCAAAGCTAATTCTTGAAAGTTGTTCCAAGGTATAGAAGGAAAAATTGAGGCTTAAGTTTTCACAAAAAACAGACAAAAAAAAAACAAAAACAAAAACAAAAAACAACCCAGAACAGCTATAATTTATCTTGTAGCTCAAATGTAGTTTGAGACCCCTGGCTTGCACATCCAGGTATAAAACTTTTCACTGGCTTGTCCAAACACTTTCTCTTACTACATAAAATAGGAATAGACTATTTCTTAATCATAAAATGTTGCTTCCTAGGAGTTCTTCTGGACTTTAATATACTACTAAAGCTCAATATTGCTAAAACTTGCATGTCCAGAAAATGTTGAACACGAATATCTCTAAAAGCAGAGATAACAGTCACAATTAATAGAGATCACAATAACACTCTTGCATTTTCTGTGGAATAAAATTATACTCCCATAACTTATTTCCTGAAAAAATATGGAATACAAAATAAATAGGTTGCTCTGAAAGTAATGTTCATATTTATTTCTATGGAAACTACAAAGAGCGATAGTACTGTTTGATAGAGCAAGTTCTCAGCTACAAAACACTGTTTTTCAACACAGTAACCACCATTACCTATGCATTTTGAGCTGCAATAAACAAAAACTTTTGTGCTGCACTCATAAAAATCTGGACCAGTGGAGATGACTCACTGTTGCTGTTGTCACTGCTGAAATGCACCACCCGCCACCTCACTGAGCTCACATTCTGTTTGATCTCCATAAACATTTAGCAAGTGTCCATGAATGTCAGTGGGTGCCATTTTTCCCCATATGGAGGAATTCAGTGACATACCTTTGCTTCATGCACACTTCCATGTCAGACACCATTTTGTCAGGCTGCCCCTCTGCTGCCATTTTCACATGGCAAGAAAATTTAACAGAATATTGATGGGAAGGTTGAACTTCTACTGCCATTCTGTCAACATGGTCCCTTGATGTCATGGTCCAAAATAATAAAATAGGAGGCACTACTTTCAGAGCAAGCCTTGTATGTTGAATTTAGATTCTTAGCAGTCAGTGCTTGGTACAGTGCAGGGAGTTTGTCTCAAAGTGAAAACAACTGAACAAGCTTTAGCCCAGACGCTTCATAACACCATCAGATTTTACAAAATATCTATAAAATTAAATAAACATAAGCAAGGAATATAGAGTTCATAGGTTTTGTTTTGTTTTGTTTTTCTTTTTTTAGGATTTCCTTTACTGGGGTTTAAAGCATGCATTTAAGATGTGCCCTGAAAGAAATTTGCAGACAACCCAGACAAGGGCCAGTCACTTAATGAAATTAATTCTATATTTTTATTGTGTACAGCTAGGTGGTTAGGACCTTGTGACACAGTGTGGTCACAAGCTACAGGATAATAATCCTGTCACCTCACCAGGCTTTCTTGTTAACTGCTGTGAACATCCTCCACTGTCCTCAGAAACGTTATCAAAAGGTTACTGTCACAAGAATAAGCTATGATAAGCTGATAATGGGGAAGAAAATAATACATTAAACACTGCTAAAAATTGAAGTAGCCTCATTTTGAGAAATAAAAATTCTTATATAGCTTTTCCTCACTCTCAAATAATATGGATTAAAGAAATGGCCACTTGATAACTATGACATGAAAATGATGCAGATATATACAAGAGTGTGTATATATTGCATATATTCAGGAAGCCCACATAAAGCTTTTTTTGTGTCAGTGACACTACTCACCTCACACACAACAATTAATAATTGATCTGATTGTACAGAAGGGCTGGATATTTTTGGCTACTAACTTCTCAGAATTTATATATGATTTATGTTTCAAAGTGATTCAAAGTTAAAGATGCTAGTTAAGCTCTAATATGACGAAGAAAATTACTTCTAGAAGTTCTAAATAGTATTCTCAGTCCAACTTTATTCATCCTTTATTTTCCCTCACCAATCAGTGTCCTTTCTTATGATTTAAAGATCATGTGTTTTCCAGCAATAGTCAACTTAAAAAAAAAAAGTATTATAGTTGTTTACTACTCTTGATTGGAAATAGGGCTATTTCCTTTGGACTTACCTTATCATTCACTACACTTTTTCCATCCCAGGCCCATCCTCGTTTTGTGAAATAATTTACAGTTGCAAATTCAATTAATGCAGAGAATACAAATGCATAACAAACAGCGATAAACCAATCCATAGCTGTTGCATATGCTACTTTGGGGAGTGAATTTCGAGCACTGATGCTCAGTGTTGTCATTGTCAACACAGTAGTAACTCCTGTAAGGGGATAAAAAAACAATTTTACTTGGATTTTGAATGTTAAAATACAAAACAAAAAACAAAGTGGAAATTTGCTTATCTAAGGTGGTGTCGTATTTAAGGCTGTCTGGAATTCTTCTGAAGAATTTAAATCCAAGATCATTATTTAAAAGTCAGTTTTAAAAAATATTTTAAAATTTTGTTTACAGATCTCTTTATTTACAGATACTCTTTTACACCCTTTTTTTCTTAGGTATTTTAATAAGAAAAGTTTTATACAGCTGCCTACCAAACACCTGTTTTTACTGCCGTGGCTACGAGTCTGGCATCCATCTTTCCAACAGTATCATACAATCTGACACTTTTTTTTAGTATAGATAATTAAATATATATATATGTTTTCAATTAGCTTTCTTACCAGTCAACGAATGACACAGTTGAAGACCTGAACATGTTAACTTTTCATTCAGATTTTCAGAACAAGATTTTTTTTTCCTAGAAAACAGCATATTGATTTTAACAGGCCAGATTATTACAACTGTATATGATATGCGAGAAAATAAGACTTGATCTACAAGTACTGTTCTTCACAATGACAGTTGTTAAAAACACTTTACAATGCTTAATGAAAACCCAGTAGGAAGCCAGAAATTCTACCAAAAAAAAAAAAAAAAAAAAAAAAAAAAAAAAAAAAAAAAATCAGAAAAAGAATACTTCAGAAGGAAAGATTAGACCATTATTCTGAATATTTTACCAAGAAGAAACTCACAGACCGAAATGACATCTCCATTCCTTAAAGCAAATCAGTTCTTACACCCAAGGCTGAATCACTTAAACTAAACTACTCCCTTTGTGGCACACCATTACATATGTTTCCAGAAGAAAAAGCAATACGAAGTGAAATACTTAGCATAGATCAACAAACCTGCACTCCACTGACAGGCTAAGTGAAATTAGTAACAGCTTCAACAAATGCAAACTCATAAAATTGTTGTCACAGGAATCCCTAGAGAAAAGTCACACTCCCTGAAAGTCAGATCCTCTGCTGTTACCAATCTTTCACCTAGGTTCTGCAGGATCAACCTAGATCAGACTTCTGCTAGAAGAGAAACATTTTTAACCTCCATGGAAAAAGGAAGAGAAGCAGCAGCTACACCTACTCAGACCTTTTCAGGCTTTGCAATTTCTATCTCTTCTGTAAACAATTTTCACCTCTGTGGTTGTTACAGAGGATGGCAGAGCAAAGCCAACTGGACTCGTCTTGTGCTGCTCTCCCACGAACTGCGGGAGAACCTATGACCCATTCCAGAGGTCATGATTCCGAAAGGAAGACAAGGCACAGAAACATCTGCTGATTCACTCAGCATCCACAAATCTAAGCAGACATAATTCACTAATTGCTATTTTTTGGCCTCCACATATTAAAGAAGGGGATTTAATCTGGAGTCAGTTGTGGTGTTGTGATCTAAAGCCTGTACAGTGACAAGGAAGCACATTTTGTTGTATGGAAATGGGTAGACAACGTATTTTGTGAATAATTTTTTCTCCTTTGACACACAACATATGGCTTAATTATTTTCTGCACCTCAGGGAAAATGCAGTCTATCTTACACTCAAAATTATCACATGCAAATTTTAACACAGGTCTCGAGCTAGAGAAAAATAATTTTAATTACACAGAAGTATCAGTGAAGTGATTGTTTCTCAGAGATACAGTGACCTTATCCATATGCAAATATATGCAGTTGATAAGGTAGTGTCCTGTTTAAGACCTACATTTTAGAATAAACTAAGCTTCTTGAAGATCCATTGTCTTCTTCGGAAATCTTATTTAAGATTAACTGTTGACCTTTTCTAGTCTCAATTAAAACAACATGAATTTACATCTTGCATCTTGCTACCAGTTGACAATTTCTCTGCAAAGTTCAACAAGCCATGCAAGTTTGTGACTCAAATGCTAATCACACAGTATATTGTCAGACAGTCGCCAGTGTATTTTAATTTATTCCTTCATTCTATAAATTCAAGCTATCACATTCATTTAACCTGAATTGAGTGGGGAGAAAAAAAATGGAAACTTTAGTCTGTGATACTCTGATCACAGAATCACAGAATTGTAGGGGTTGGAAGGGACCTCCAGAGATCATCGAGTCCAACCCCCCTGCCAAAGCAGGATCCCTACACCAGGTCGCACAAGTAGGCATCCAGGCGGGTCTTGAATACCTCCAGAGAAGGAGATTCCACAACCTCCCTGGGCAGCCTGTTCCAGTGCTCCGCTGCCCTCACCATAAAGAAGTTTGTGCGCACATTTGTGCAGAACTTCCTATGCTCCAGTTTTCGGCTGTTTCCCCTTGTCCTGTCTCCGCACACTGCTGAAAACAGTCTGGCCTCGCCACTCTGCCCCCCACACCTTAGATATTTATAGACCTGGATTAGGTTCCCTCTCAGTCTTCTCTTCTCAAGGCTAAACAGACCCAGCTCACTCAGCCTTTCCTCATAGGAGAGATACTCCAGGCCCTTCACCATCTTTGTGGCTCTCCGCTGGACTCTTTCCAAGAGATCCCTGTCTTTTTTGTACTGGGGAGCCCAGAACTGGACACAGTACTCCAGATGAAGCCTTACCAGGGCAGAGTACAGGGGGAGGATTACCTCCCTCGACCTGCTGGCCACGCTCTTTTTAATGCACCCCAGAATGCCGCTGGCCCTCTTGGCCACAAGGGCACACTGCTGGCTCATGGCCAAACCTGTCGTCCCTTATAAGATGCAACAAATACTCATCGGTTTGTTTTTAAAAAAGGTCAAGAAATAAATCCTTTAATAGATCATTTTGATAACATTTCCCTTCTCTTAAGAAGATTCTGTACTTGATGGTAAATATACCTTCATATTACTATAATTCTTCTCAACAGTATATGCCTATGAATGCTAAAAATCTTTTAGCACTTCAGATTTATCCTTTCAAGCTGAGAATGGAGTTGATTGCCTAGGATTTATGGTGGAGCTTTTGAAACTGCATCTGCTCACTGAATACAAGATATACATCTACAGGACTGTAAAACTGAACATCTTTCACTGACATTAAATTTGCATCTGTGAAAAATATTGGCTTTGACACATTCTGGATGCCAGAATGCATGGATATTGTTCAAGACCTGTTTAAAAGTAGGCAGCTTCCTTTCAGCAAACAATATCTGTTGCTAAACAGTATAGGTAACAGCCAGACAATGACTGAAGAAGGAAACACAAAATACCTGAGAACAAACAGTGAAATTGAAGGACCTGGCACATACATATTGAAGTTAAATTCAGTGATGACGACTAGGCTCATGCTGATGTATGTTTGCAAATTCAGCCTATTCCTTAACAGGGACAAGTTCTTTCAGATCCTAATTCTACTTCTTGTGTAACAAATTCATTTTCTAATTTGAACAGACTTAGTTGTCTAAATGACATCCTATATGTATTATGTTGGAATGTAAACATCTCCTTCTAAAATGAATCCAACAAGCCACAAAAAGGACATTCTGTAACAAAATAAGTATCTCAGCTTTTCAAATAACCTGCACAAAATCCTTAAATTGTGTTTCAGATCTTAGAATATGCTACTCTTTTCACAACTTTATCTATTATCACACTTGGCAAAGTTGTACACAACATATCACGAAAAAAATTGATTTTTTTTTAAAGGTTAATTAGATCACTTAACCTGGTAAAGAATACTGAATAGGTTAATAAATACAGAAGAAAGTAATGTCTGATCTCTTTTATGAAAACACCTACTGCTAATAAGTTTTCTACTTCATTTTAAAAGGTTGGAGCACTAAACAAATGCAGATAAGTTCTGGAAATAGTGTGATATTAGAGTAATGGTGTATGTCATTTGACTATACACCATACTGTTTATGCGCATATACATTACGTGAGAATACAATACAAAACAACCAGCAACCTACAAGCTAATTCCTAAAGTTGAATGGCAAGTGCAATCTACTCCAGCTCCCACACAAGTCTCATATGATTATGCTTCATTGACACACAAATTACAGTCTAGGGACAGCACTGAGCTGGGAAGGCATTAGTTTATTGGCAGCCAGCTCTGTCTGTAACCAAGCACTACTGTTTATCATCTGTGCTTGCCCACTGAATATCACTTGAGTGTTATGTCTATGTTAACAGAACTCCCCTATTAAGAAGCTATAGAGTGAAAGTTCTGAATGGAAGGTTATCTCTAAGGGCATAGAAGATAAACTGTGGCCTCTGAAAGAAATAAAGACAGATGAGATTTCTTTTTTAACAAAACAGGACAAAGATACACGTATATACAGAATTGTTCAAAAGGCAGGGTCTATCTCATTCAATTCTCTTGAGAAAATAACCACAAAAAATCTGAACTTGTCTAAGGATCCTATTTCTGTATTTGCAGAATTAAAAAGCCTGTCTTATTTAAGGTCTAAATAGCTTTTTGTTTCAAAATGTATATTAATATAGATTCAGAAAAGTTAAACCAAGAACAAACAAAGCACAGGGAAAGGGACATATCATAAAAATAAAATGAGAATAGAGTTCTGAGTTTAAAATTCTGTATATTGGAAACATACTAACAAAATAACACAACTGTTATTTCAGTTCTTGCCTTGCTCGCTTTGGGGATCACAGAATACATATCTTACTACATCTATCCTAATATCCTCATTCCTACCTTGAAGGAGTTAAAACACTAACTGTAGTACTAAGAAAGATGATTTCTGATTTTTCTGTGGCTTGCCTTGAATCTTGCTATTCAAATACACGTGATGTATTTAAATGTTATGACCCATTAAAAATGAGGCGAAAATTCAATAACCGGCACAAGATGAGCTTTGCTAATGTTGTTGACACTAAATGCAGAACAATAAAAACATTACTAAGTGAAACAGATCATAATCTTGCACTAAATGAAAACATTATAAAACAGGCTTATTCCCTTTCATTGGAAACACAAATACTTTTCAAATTTGTCTGGTACAGAAAACAGATTCAATACTTATTTACTTAACAGTGATAAAATTTTCTTCTTCCAGTAATTTAAAACAAAGTTGAAACAATAGAGCATTAAGCCACAGTTCTTTTTGGATAGTTAAGTCAACAATATTAAATAGATGCCATAAAGAAAAGGGATTAAGGAGCTCAACTATAAAAGAATACTCATTATATCAAGTCCATAATGTTAAACCACAGCTTGAAAGTACATCACAAGAGAAAAGAGAAAGAATAGTATCTTCTCTCAAACATAAAATACCAAATGATATGTGGTGCTTTGAATAACTAGAGGTTATGTTTCTGTGAAAGAACAGTACTCAAATACTTAATCCTTCCCAGGACTTGGTAACTCTTAAGAAGACACTTGAAAAAAATCTCATCCATTCTTATAAATGCTTTATCAAAACTAATGCTTTCTTAATCATATTTTAATTATCTTCATAGTTACTATACAATCCAAAGGTGAATATCTTGCAAGGAACCACTTCATATAAAAATATAAATATGATCAGTACAAATGTACAGTAAGCTCTCTTGCAAGTGTTTACACTTTATGTTGGAAGCACCTGATTTTACTATCTTAGCAGGATTTCTGTATCACTGGGTAGTGTCTACCTGAAAGCAACACGCAAACAAACAACACCCTGAATGAATCTGTGCAGCTCTCTCAGGATTAATTCAATGAACCAGGAAGCTTTAAGAAGCAATAGAGGAACTTTGTTATACAAGTGTGGATAACTTCACATTTTTGTAACATATTTAGGCAGGAGACAAGAGGGTAATAGAAATCCCAGTGACAACTGCTGCCAGTAGGTATGGAGAAAGACTGGGAGATTCGCCATTCGCCTGGGGCTATGTGATTAGAGCAACCATTGGCAGCTTATGCTGACAATCTCATTTAAAATATTAAAAAAAAAATAAATCAGAAAATAGCTCCTGCGGCAACATCCTGTGCAGAAGGCTAAGCGTGTGGTACGACTGCTGCTCCACCAGGCAGAGGCCAGAATTATCAGATGCTCAGTGCAAGTGTTCAGGGTTCAAGGTGTCCATCCAGGCATGTCTGGAGGGGATGAGGGCATAACTGGTGCTTAGGTGTATGCATGTTTGACAGAAATAAAATACTAGAATAGAAATTGTTATCCACTCCCTACACCCACTGTGCTTAGTCAATATATTTTGGATTTTATGTCTCCAGGTGGCATGGTTCTGCTCTTGTGGACACTCCACTCAGTTTCTTCATGACATCCTGAAGAAATGCAGTCACACTGATCACACAGTCAAAATGATCAGTCACACTGTTTATTAGTACATATTGTTCATTAACCAGAATACACTTAAGTCTCATCCAATTAAAGCTGCAGGCTGTTATGCAGATGTTATTTCTTTCCCCAAAATACAAATTAAAAAATAAAGAACATGAAAGATATATGCAGGAAGGGAAGTAACACTGCAGGAAAATTATCCTAGGAACTTGTTTGCTGGCAATACTATAACACTACGTTTTAGGGAAAGGAGATGGAAGTTGTTTATAGACAAACCAGCTACAGTGTCCTAAAGGTATAGAAAGTGGTACAGAAAAGGACAAGAATGGAGGTATAGTATTTGACACTGGACTTGCAAGGCTGGCAAGGAAGGTGTAGGAAAAAAATCATTAAAAATGTATTTTGATAAACAGAAATGTACAAATTGACGGAAGAATTTGAAGAAAAAAAAATTGTAACTGTCTGTTAAATGACTAGGAAAACATGGTAGAACTCTAGTGCCTCTAAACTGCCGACCCATTTCATCTGATTTCAATAAGGCTCATATTCAAACCTGCAATTTTCATGATATGTTGTGGCATTTCCTCTACCAGGAGAGACTGTGAGTGCTTCATTGTGCATGACTTAATATTTGAGTTTGGCATATTTTTTTGAGACTGTGTGGTGTTTACTAATGACTAACCATAAGATTTTATACAGCATGTTTGATAGCTGATTCCAAATAGGCATTATTTTTGTTGCACTTCTATATTATTCTTTAAAATCAAACAGATTAGAAGAATCCTGAGTTATATGTATTTAAAAAGACATTTGTTGCTTTGATTTACTCAAGAAGAGAACAAAATCTTAATTTAAGATAAACGCTATCATACTTCACTACTAACGCTGTTCACTATCCTAAAGTACATTTCAGTTTGAATAACTGAGAAAGATTTGCTAGGCCCCCAGAAAAAGATTTCTTTTAAAGAACTGCAGTTTGCAAGTTTTAACACATTCAAATAATTCAGGTTCTTAATTTGCTTAATTTACAAGCGTATTTAGAAATGTACATATCTACTATGTGTCAAAATGATTGAGTAATATCAATGAAAGAAGAACATTTCAGAAAACAATGTAAATTTAATTTTAAATGGGAATTTTACAATTATCTTCTATTTAGTGGAAAATGTTTTCACAGAAAAGAGGCAAGAATATAGGAACAGTTCTCACTTGTGCTGATTTCTGAAAGTTTTAGTATTCCCTGGGGTTCTGTAAGATGCTGCTGAAAGTTATTTCAACTAAAAATAATGCCAAATTCTATAAAGTAAATTAAACAAAAAAAGGGCTTTACCAAACACACTTCAAAAAACTCTTCCTAACAGTTTCAACTATTGCAAATAACATGCCACTCAATGTACTCACCAAAAACTGTCCTAGCTGGTACAGATTCTCTGTTCAGCCAGAACGAGACTTGAGAGAGAATGACAGTCATGATACATGGGAGGTACGTCTGAATGACAAAATAACCAATTTTTCTCTTCAAGTGAAAATGAGCCGTCATTACTGTATATTCACCTAATGTGCCACAAAAAAATATATATATATATATCTTCAGAAAGTCAAATTCTATAGTAAAAGAAAGTTTGGTACATTTATGTGAACCAAATGTACTGCAATTAAATTGAACAAAATGTACTATGTAGTAGGAGGCATCCTACAGTAAACAAAAAAAATTTAAATTTGGGTAAAATTACATCTTATTCCTACTAAGATCCGTGAAAGATCAGTATTCAGAAACTTGCATGAACCGTTTTATATCTTGACAAGAATTTCGGTGCTGCAGGCTTCTTAATATAAGCAACCCTCTGCATTCACACAAAGCACCCTAAGGACTCTGTCTACAGTCATAGAATCACAGCACTCCATCACAGCCTGACATATGTAGGATCATAGTTTACAGCCAAGTAGAATAATCCAATTATTATTAAATATTATATTATTAAATATATATCTTATTAAATATTATTATAAATGTTTTTAATAAAAATATACTAACAGGTAAAAAAGTTGAAAACAGAGTACTTTACCATTTAGTAGACAAAAAGTGTCATTTACCATATGAAATTAAACAACCATCCAAGCCTTGGATTACAATTGTTAGTATTCAAGACTGAGCATAAAAAAAATGTCACTGGGTAGAAATTCACTTCTACTCTTATTTGCTACTTCTTGACTTGGAAGAACTGGCTGCTATGAGTTATGTGTAACATAAACTATGGCTAATAACTTTTTATAGTAGCTTATCACTACTATAAGCCTATGCTCATTATAACAAACGGAATGCTTTTTCTTAAAACATTTTTTTTTACAAACCTGTACTTGATTTAACTGTCTCTTTTCCAATTGTTTGGCCCAAAAGATCATACTGATTCAATCTTGAACCATCTGGTGCCACCTGTACAGAATCTGAAGCGTTGTAAGTCCAAATATATGTCACTTCTGATGTTGTATATGCATCTGTGGAAATAAGATATGATATTTTATCAGTAATTTTAACCAAATAAGTTACATCCAAACTCATCTAATTAGAAGAGCTACTTAATTACCTTTCAAAAGGAAACCTCAGAAAACTAAAATGATTAGCAAAACCATTCGTATATTTTAAATAACTTTACTGTAAGGTAAATGCTTATGGCTGCATGGAATCAGGGCATGCATTTGTTTTTATTAATCACAATTTATTGGTATAAATTGCAAACAATAATTCTTCCATACTGTTAAAAGAATTTGTCACAGATCCACTATGTATGAATCCTAAAACTCACAAAAAGTCAGATGAAAAGAACAGTGATTTGTAACATTTAGGGTACACAAAATTTTTTAAAATTCATTTCTATATTGTTCTCACCTTTTATTTCCCTACTTTCCCTTTGGTAGTGTATCACAAACGTTTTGTTATTCATACCTGAGTATGGGGAAAGAGGTTCTGTAACAATGCTCTTAAAATACTTGCAGAAGCTCAGTGCCTTAGCCTCTTAAATCTCAGTCCTAAATATTAGATCTATCTTTGGGGCATACTGACATCAAGCAATCTGCTTTCTCATTGCTTTCATCAAACATACATTTATCCTAGTCAGTCAAAATAAACTAAAAAGGAAGCAAATCAACACTGTATTTTAGATAGCATTAATGTCTCTCCAATGAGTAAAAAAGAAAAAAAATGAATATATCCCACAAGTTTTTCCAATCTAATACCCACATAAACAAATGGAGTATGAAAGGAAAAGGGTAAAACACTAATGGAAGAAATTATGTGCTCACTGTGATTGACTGAGACAAGTACATTTGAAGTCTTATCCATATCTGCAGTGAAGTGAAAATAAAAAAAAAAAAGCAACATTTTTGCTGGACTGTAAACATTTTCACTTGAGAAATCTCTGCAGGCCTTGAAAGATGCTTATTCATTCAACTTGCCATAAACTGTAGGACTAACATAGCAGGCAGGCAGCATGCAGAGATGTTTAACATTTCCCTTCAAACTACCCATATTCCCACAAGAATCCCTCTGCTTTAATGCAGATCAGTAACCTCGCCAATTTCTGATTTGCCTCTACACTCTCCACTGTTGGTTAGACTTTTTGATAAAGATGAAGAATGGCAATTTATTAAGCTACAGCTTCTTCAGTACATACAGCTTGGCTTTTCTCTTGAGCACAACAAAGAAACTGAGACAATCTTGCAGGCTGATGATCCTCTTAGCAATGTAAGATTAGCAGCATATATGAGAAGATATGACAAACATGTACCATTGGCAGACTTGCTTCAGCTAAACCAAATCCTCGGGATTTTGGCTTATATTCACCACTATTTATCATTTAAATTCAGTCCCAGAATGAAAGATGAAAAATGAAAGCACAGAAATGAGTTCTAGTTAAAGAAATGAGTGGGAAGCCTTTCAAAATGAACAGAAATAAGCCTTCAGTGTGTGCCAACTGGCTGGAGCACAGGTGACTACAAGGAGAAAAGACAGACAGCTTTCCTAAAATCACTTTTCTCACAGTTACAGTTTTAATTCTGCTTTTTACTGGAAATGCAGAAACCACAGGAAGAGAACAAAGAACAAATTAGTAGTGAAAACAAATAGAAAAGAAAAACAGACAGCAAATCCAACTCTTCACAAATGGAAAAACAAACAGCAAATCTCACACAAAGTCCAATATACCTACTCAGAAGGGTTTTCATTTTAGCAATGCAGATCAAGTCATACTATGAAGTAACTGCATAGCCTGAGTATCAGTTTCATTATTATAGGTATTTTTGGTTTATATCAATTTTTTTGAGGCTGCATTGAGTCTTTTCTTACTGTATCTTACTGTGCACATGTATATAAATATTATTCATCAGCTTTTGCCAACATTTCTAGTGTTATTTAGTTAAGTTGTATTATGTACTATAAATGTAATAAAATATTTAGTGGAAAAAAGGCTCCATGGCAAAACTATTATTAACCATCTTTTATCTCAACAGTTAAGGGCTCCCTTTAGCATTATCAGAAACATAGACTTGATTAAGTTTGCTCTTCTTTTTCCCCACCAAACTCCAGGGAAATGGTACACACCAGTGTCATGGAAAGAATGTGCACAGTGCTCTGACAGCATTCATCTTGTGAACATCTTCTTAGCAGTGGCCTATCACCTGTTTAGCAACCTGTGGTGGCTACAGTAAAAATTAAAAGAGCCAGAATTTATCGGTATTATATAGTCTCCTTGAAAAAGGATGCCATTTCCTGGGCCTAAAACAAAATATAGACTGCAGAAAAAATAATAATAATTGCAATGAAAAAAAAACACAGGAAATATAACACAATCCTAATTCACAAAGAAGAAGGACTGCTATACAGGTGAATGAATTTATACTGCTGTTAAAATAACAATATTGAGATCAAAGTCCACCTATCTAACTAGACAGTATGATAATGAATGATTATTTTTCCTTTTTTATCACAAGAAGCCATATGTTTTTGCCTTAATTAAAGAATGAAAAAGAAAACATGATTAAAAATAAAGAGGAAGAAAAGGTTTCAATAAATGAAAACATTCTTTAAAGTCTTTACTTGCTCTTCATTAATACAATTCTACACAGTCCACGGGCATCCAGGTTTGTATTCATCAGTATGGTTAGGAATAAAAGCAGATCAGTGCAGTGCTGAATTAGGTGCACAGTATTTACTGTTAAATTGTGTCAAGAAAGCTTTAAAATACACAATAAAAGATACAATACAATAGATAAAATCAATTGCAATCTGCCAAGTTACAATTTTTTAAAAAAAAAAAAGCACAACCTTGTGTTTTAAACCTCCCTCATAACAACTTTTTTGAAATAAAAGGAAGGTTGAGCAATGTTAGGCTTTCACTAACCAAAGACCATAGTTCTGGTTATACACTTACAGCTGCCAAATTTCAGTGGGCATGAATGAGCATCCATAGGGAAATCTTCCAAGTGCATTGGACATTCGGCTTGGACTGTAAGCCTAAAAGGCAAAAGGACCACTATGCATTTAAGTCAGTTAACAGGACAAGAAAATCAATTCCACAAAAATGAACAGTTCATATGTATTTAGGAGATGAAACTGAAATGTTATATTAAACTAATTAAAATTTAGATCAACTCTTGCTTCCTCCCTTTTATGTGTTCCTTTGGAAAGCACTGACATACTACATCAAAAAATTAAAACAGCCAACCTCAAAACTATGAGGACTGGCCATTTAAATGAAAATATAAATTACGTAACTGTAGGTTTTTAAGAACTGTCATTTTCTTCTTATAATATTCTGAGGTACATATGTGATTATATGGCTCTGAAAATCTCATTACAAAAGCACATAAAATGCAGTTGACTGAGCAAAAGACTGCATTCCATGTTTTTTTATTCTTTTTAAGAGTCTGAATGTGAAATTGTAAGGGAATAAAGTGTATTGTCTTAAAACTGCTGCTATTCATCCTCTGTTACTTGTAATTAGCATTTGTGTTTGTTTATAGGCATGACAATATGTTAACAATGCTCATCTGGTGTTAAAAGATGTAACCTTTGCTCATCTGGTGAAAAATTCCCAGTAATATTGCAGTATTAAATATGTGGATTAATACAGTTAAACATAATTTCAAACAGTTTGAACAAGTTTTGACATTTTTATTTCCCACTATTTTTAACTCAGTGAATTAATTAATTAAAGCTCTGCTTCTCCTTCCTATCTTGTAGGTTCCCTTTGGGTTGAAATTTTTCCTGCGCTTTATGTTGCTCTTCATCCATCCTTGAATATCAACTACATTTTCCTGCACTCCCAGTGGTTCACCGTCATTGTATTCCCAATCAGATTTTCCAGTTTTCCATCCCAAAATATTCTATTTCCTCATTCCCCAGGAAAAAGCTTCTGAAGTCAGGAGGAAGAGACAGAAAAGAGTCAGCAAAAGGCACAGGAGAGTGCTTCATGAGTTCATCACTTTAAATCACACTGTCATTTTAAGCAGACACAAATGAAAATGGCTGCTTAAAATCTCTGCAACAGAAGCAGCTTACACATGTAACTCACTATCTCAGAAGAAACATAATTAGAAATCATGAACTTAAAACAAATAGAAAATGTTCAGTGATTCTATTTGGCTTGATCTACTTTCTTGTTATTAAAGAGAAGAACGGTTTCAAACACTGTTGTTTATTTTTATAGAATGTAGAATAGAGTATATTCTGAAGGAAGAGAATTTGAGATCAATTGTATAAATGGAGGTCTCACTTTATTTCCTGCACACTTTTCTGAATATCATATGATATGATTAGCAGCCTACCCTTCAACATCCAATACAACAAGGGCTTGTTGGTTATGCCGATACATACATGCCATTTATAACACAAATTATTTTTCTGACCATATTTAATGTATTTTACCAGCCAAGTGCTACTCATTTTCAGAAGCAAAAATGGAAAAATAAAATCCTGTCATTAGATATATTAAAAAAAATAGTTAAAGCATAAGATACATTTTCTGCATAGTTCTTGTTAGGAAGAATTTAAGGACATTCTGCTGAGTGATGTGAATTTGTCTCTTTTTTTTTTTTTTTTTTAATGTCACTTTAGGAAGCGACTGGAAATCCTCAGATTTTTCCCACAGGAATTTGGTAGAGCTCATCCATGAAGATAATGAGGCCAATAATCCAGTCAGAATACCTCTGCACCAATGTACAAGCACAGGAAATAAGCAGAAAGAATTGGAAACCATGGAGCAGTTAGAAAACTATGACCTAACTGATACCATAGAAACCTGGCAGGAAAAAAATTGCACAACTGGAATGCTATAATTATGGGCTTTAATTATGAGTTTTAAAATACACTAAAAGATACAATAGAATAGATAAAATCAGTTGCAATGTGTCAAGTTACAATTTAAAAAAAATTAAAAAAAATGGGCTGCAATATTTCAGAAGAGCTAGGCAGGGCAGCTGGTGTTGAGGAATTGTTTTCTGTGTTAAGGAATGGATAGATTCCAAGGATATGTCTCTGAGAAAGAGCCATGACTAGGTTGAGAGCTTGTGGGTTAAAATTCAGGACAAGACCAATTAAGGATGTCTGGTGGTCAGGATCTACTAAAGACTGCCTGGAATGTTTAGCCTGTTTTACAAAGCCTTCTTGCTTCAGCTTGACCTCATTGTGGTCTTCCAGTACCTGAAGAGAGTTTATTAGAAGGAAGAGTATCAACTTTTTCCGTGGTCTGACAGTGATAGGACAAGGAAGAACTTTACAAGAACAAGAGGGAGCTTTAAACTAAAAGTGGGGAGATTTAGGATGCAGGCTAGGAAGAAATTCTTTACTAGGAGCGTGATGAGGCACCTGCACAGGCTGCTCAGAGAGGTAAATGTATCCTCCCTGAAAGTTTTCAAGGCCAGGTTGGATGGAGGTCTGGGGCACCTTGATCTAGTGTTTGGTAACCCAGTCCATGGCAGGAGGGCTGGAACAAGGTGACCTTTGAGGTTCATTCCAATCTAAGACATTCTGTGATTCTATGATTCATTTTCTTGTTACCAGCGATCTCAGAAATAAACCTGCCTAATGATTCAAGTGGTCTATTGTTGTGTGCTGCAACAGACAGAAGTTATATGCAAGTTCAATTTTTCTGAGACAGAGTGTAAACTCTTGAGTATCCTTAGTAGTTCTAGAACAATTCCCATCTATAGGCTTTAAAGCATTTTATGCAGACTGTATCTTTTAATATGTTACATGTTCATGAGAACTGAGGAACACATAGAAAAACTGATCTATTTGAATAGATTTGCAACAGAATCAGAAAAGTTTTCTTGGTGTTTTTTTTCTGCTGGGTTCTGTTGGAAAAAAATAAGAGTCTTCCTGGAACCTTACATAATTGATAACTGGAAAAATTGTGTCAAGAATTAGCATGAGCAGAGAAAAAAATAAAAATACATACCTCATGGTGTACAAAAGAGTTCCATCATCTTGGATTCGTAGAAGCTTGTTAGGCATTGTCATGTTATGAGCAACTGACTTCTTCCCATTGTGAAAAAATGTATCTGGAGTCCAGATTTTGCTGGCCATTAAATTGTTCAATCGAAGAATATTCATTGGGCCCTTAAACTTTAACCGCTCATCCTTCCATCTCTGACGGAAGAAGACATCTATTGTGTATTCCTATATGGAATAAAGATATGCTTTTTTTTTTTACTATGAAAAAATAATCTACATTTGAGGAACAAGTCAGAGAAACACTGGTTGTAAAATTCCTTTGGCAAAATTTTGTTAGGGCAGAATAACTATCACACAAAATTGTATGCCTGTATTAAACTTTTTCAGTACTTAGATTTCTGTACTTGAAACGTATAGCACACAGGACAAAGGTAATTTCAATTAAGTTAATTTAAAATAAGAAATAAAAAATAGGAGGATATGATGTTCATGCAGAAGATGCACCTACAGGAGGTGATTGAGCATTTTAAGAGCATGGAAAATATCTAAAACTGAAAGGAAGAAAAACAAGGTTATTAATATATGGCACAATATATGCTGGAAGATTGATATAAAGAAGAATGTTCCAAAAAGAGAAGCAAGGTCTGTAAGTGTATACATTTTATTAGCAAAAGTACACAGATAAGGAGCAAATTAATTACAGGTGCCCTACACTCTGTCTGCTGAACTGTAGTGCCTAATCTTGAGAAGGAAGGAAAAAAGGATGCAAGCAAAACAGACTGATGACCTGGATCAAATGATTTCACTTAGATATTCCATTTGCTGTTTTTTCTTGCTCTTCCAAACAAAAAAAGAAAAACAAAAGACACCACACTGATGATAAAGGTTCACAAACTTTAAATCGGAACTGTAAGTTGCTTTATTTGTTTGTTAATATCAGCACAGCATATAAATTGGAATTCATAGATCATAAGTTTTGTTGAAATTAAACTGTATTTTGAGTTCTGGCAAATGTCACTTTGGAAAAATTTCAGTTTTATTGAACAAGTGCAAAATGGACACGTTTTCAAAACATGATTATATTCTAACAGCCTGTATCACTGCAATGAGTCACAAGTTCTGATAAATTTCCATCAATACCAAATATTCAGGTTACTTCAATGCAGAAATGTTTAAGGAACTTATCAAATTCATACCACCTTTTTCTGTCTCCCTTGTGTGCTGATTAACAAAGCTTAAATTTTTTCTAAATCAATCATATTGTTTTGCAAACAAGTGCTAAGCAGAGAGCAAGAAGCAAAACCTTTCCTCGTCTTCTTTTCCTCTGTGAGTCCAGGAACTACAAGGACCTTTTCCAAGACAGAGAGAAGCTAAGAAAAGCATGTGAAATAAAGGAAAGAAAATTCAGCTATCTGAAAGATCATAGCAAGGGAAGGAGAGAAAGTAGTTGTAGTTAAAAACTGTATTAGGCTCATGGAAAGATCCTTTTTAGAATTATATAATGGGATGCTTATGAAGTCACCTGACAAAACTCACAATTTATATCTGTATCAAGAGGCCTTACATTACTGTAATACAATTTTGTATTTTTCTAATTCAAATTATTGTTACTCAGATATTAAACAAATCTAACACTACAATACACCAAAAATTAATTTATTTGGATTAACATAAATGGCAGTTGTTATCTACATATGTGTAAACAGGCACTACTTCGTGACAAATAATTTCCCTACTTCTCCACTGTATATACCACATTTAATTGTCCTGTACTATTTGCTAATTTGTTGTTTTATTTGCTAACTATCCTGTGACCTAAAATTCCATTTACAGATTCCAAGTAATCTAAAAGTTTAGTTATATATCAAGGAAAGTTACTAATCATCTGAAATCTTGGAGGATAGGGAGCAGCAGAAACTGTTTACTTGAAGCAACAGGCAGAATACATGGAATCTGGCTAGAAATATCAGTTAATTCAAGTAAAAAAAAAAAAAATTGCCCTAAAATCTTCCTTATCATATCTGTCTGAGAGGCTTTACCAATAAATCATTGCTATGCATGAGAAGATTGATGTTGGAGGTATACAGCAGAGGAAAGAAGAGCCTGAGGGAGCAAAGCTTTGAAATTCCACTAAAATTCAAGAGAATTGAGTGATAAGTCCTACAAGATCCTTTGAAAAATAGCCCCTGCACATAAATGTTTAGAATATAAATCTTAAATTTTTATAATGTCCCCAATAAAGAATTTCAAAGGTTACACTTATTCACTGTCTTCCATCATATATAAAAAGAATTACTCAAGATATAAAAGAGAAAAAAGCAGAGATGAAATGCCACTAAATCAAAACAGCAACATTTCAAGAAAGCACATCTGATGTATAGCCACAGCTTAGAAAGCAGAACAAACAGGAGAAAACATGTTCTTGGGCCCAATTGGAAGGTCCAATTATAAATCCTAACTCATCTACAGGTAATTCTGTTCTCTCTACTTAGAATTTTCCTTCTTATCCATGCTGGAAAACATTATTTGACAGAACACATGCTGTTCCGAGAAGATGAAAGAGAGTTATCCAATGTTTGCTGGAAATCATCACAAACATCTTCCATTCATCACAACAGCAATAAAATCTCATTTTTCTTTCTATAGATCTCAATGCATTTTGTAAATAAAGTTGCAAACAGGAAGAGAAATCAAGGCAATGAAATGAAATTAACTTGTCCCTCTCCGTTTACCTATGATTACAAAACCCATACATTTTGCATCGCGGTGCTATATTGACTGATCCCTATTCTGTTCTACTTGCACTCATGAATACCCCTATGATGATTACCATACAAAAAAGAAAAAAGAAAAAAAAGAAAGAAACAACAAAACTTTTGAAATATTTTGAGTCAATATAAATATCAACATTTACCAAAAGATACATACTTAAAGGTTTTGTAACCCTTTCCTGTTCTAGCTATGCATCTCTTTGTGGTAAATGCTGCGTTATGCAGCATTTGAAGCTGCATGTTTTTTTGGTAGTTTTTTTCTTTTTAGCCCATAACAGCCCTGCTAAAAACATAAGTGATGTCCTAACTGACACTGCATTTCAAAGATACTATATTCATTTTTAAATATATAAATAATGTCTGCCAGACATATACAACCTTTAATGCTATAAATAAAAAGTGTCATATTTCTAGGGAATTGTAGCATGGTCTTCCTCAATGTGAAGAACTCATTTCATGCCTTTTATTTCTGCTCCTTCTGCCAACTTCAGTCATTTTTGAGTAAGCATTTAGACAAAGTATTAAAAATTCTGTAAAAAAAATACTTTTAATCAGTTTAAATCATAACATTGAGGGAAGATAATGTCTTCCTATTCAAATCCATTTATGAAAATGTGCTTCTCCGAATGGCTTGCTCTCAGTTTCCACAGACCTGATACAGAACAAACTCTGAGTACAAAATAAGCACTGTGGAGGGATAAGAGATCAATGGGAAAGATACAAATTGAGATAACTTAAAATCTGCAACTTATTCACAGTACTGAAAATACAAAGATTTCATATTACTCTATTTTTGTTGTTCAAACATGGAGAAAAGGCAACCCTGAAACACAATGGATGCCTGGTGCCAGGGGCAGGAGTTACACTAGGAACTAATATCACTGGTTGGACACAGTCCCAGAGAAATAAATCTCCAATACTGGTCTACTTGACAGAATACTGCACAAGAAAACAGTCTTTTGCAACAGAAAAAGGATAGAAATTATGCAAGCCATAATGTGAGGTATCCTCCTCAAAATTACCCATGGCTTTAACTTGCAAAAGGCCACAGTTTTAGTCTATAATAAAAAGGAATAGAGCAATCCATTTACTGACTAATTAAAAGACAACTTAGAGGCTCTTGATAGCATAAAAAAACCAAAGGTATTTCCTGTTCTGGCTTTTCGTTTAATCTTTTTTTTCCTTCTGATACTGAACTAAAATAATACCTACAGTAAAAATGATTTCTGTATTTTTTTTTAACCTTTGGAAAAATATTTCACTTAGAAACAGCTAAAACTTCAAGTTCTATAGAGAAAAAAGATCTGAAAAACAAAACAGAATAAGGAAATGTAAAAAGCAAAAATGTGGTCTGGGGCTCAACCACTTCTCTGAAGTACTGTCCTCAATAGCAGTGAGATGCTATAACAAATCTGGTCATTTCTGGCTTTGATCTTCAGCCTTCATTAAAATTTATGTGCTGACTATAATTGGAAAGCAAAAAACATTCACTGAAAGTTTAATTGCAAGCTGATAACACTACATTGTGTACTGAATAGAACCATCTCTTTGAGTGAAGTGAAAACTGAACAAAAATTCTAAACTGAAAAACTAAATGTCTATCAGCAAGACATTTAGGAAAAAAAATATTGTGTAGAAATACATTTAATGATCCTTGTGGGTCCCTTCCAACTTAGAATATTCTATGAAAATTGGAAAAATACAGACGTAACCGCAATAAACAACGCTTTCCTAATACAACAAAAAGCTGAGGTTAAAAATTGAAACGTAGTACTGTAAGAAAGCCTGGTATTTTTAATACTCAGACAAAATTGACTTAGGTCCTGTCATCTACTAACTGTATACCATATGGAAGTAGGAAAGACAGTTCCCAGTGACAATTAGAAAGGCTGCCATGAGACAGTACTTTACAAAAGCTTACACAGTGTTCTGCAGATCTCATGTAAAGGCTCTCAGTGGCTGTATGCTGTCTTACAGCAAGTATGGTTTGAGGAGCAAAAATATTTTTCATTTATTATTTATATTTAGTTCTCTCTAAGAGATCAGCACTTGTATAGCTATACTGGAAATTTTAGAAGCTAAAATTTGAGGCGAGTCTGCAAGGAAAGTAATTCTAAGAAAAAGCTGTAGAAGTAATATGATTGCAGTGCTAAAATCATAACTATAAAGCTATGCTAATCTACCAGATTGGATCTAAAATTATTTACTAATTTGGGGGAAAAAAACAGAAACTATTAGTTTTAATTGGTTAAATTAAATCATTAACATTTTGTCATCCTGAAAACCATATTCCAACCAAAATCATCCTTCAGTTCAGAATTTTCAAAAAAGAAAGATTTTAATTTAATTGCAGATGTTTTAATTAGCCACTTCAATCATGGTTTAACCTTATAACCCTTCTTAGAAAATTCAGAGAAGCTTCGTTTTTTATATGTTAATTTTTTTTGTTTGTATTTTTAAATAACACAACTTTTCTTCTCTCAGGCTAATGTCAAAGTAAATTTGTATCACTGATCTGGTTGGAAGCCTATAAGACATAGCATCATAATACTGAAAGATTTCAGAGAAATAATAGCTCAAAAAGACAGAACAGTGAAAATTAAACTTGCTTAATTATGCTTAATTTCTTTGCCTTCCTAAATTCCCTTTAGTCCTCAAAATGAAGTTGAAAATTCCTGATGTATATTGACATTTTCTTCAACATTACACACTATAATTAATATAGATAGCATTTTTCTAATATAGTTAGTATGGGTACGACCATATTTTAGTTGTAGCAGCTCACTTGAAGTACAGTTTGCAAAAGAGTCCTGGCCAAGACTCAACATACTTGGTAGCTGAGTAGCTTGGGGAGAACAGAATGTAGCATTTTTTTTTTTTTTCCCTTTAGACAATATGTTAATCCATGATGAGGATCTTTTTCCTTTTTTTTTTTAAACCTCTAAACGCATTTGCAGAATAATCTCAGCCTCAGATTTTACCTCCTAAATTTATCAACCACAACATCAGCGAGTCTAAAAACAGAGGTCAGATTTGTCTAGATTTAACTACTTTATGAACTAAAAAAATACAGATAATTTGAATGAAATCCTACTTATTCTTCCATTGAACAATTTAGGAGGAACCCTTAAAAATTAAAATAGCATTCACAACATTTACAGAAAAAAATATCTAGAAACGTTCTCTATAGTAGTTATCATTATCAATTCAGTAAAGCAATATCTAAATGAAAGAGCAATAGTTATGCCAACATTACCTTCACATCTGACAGACTATGTAATAGTTTGGAAGTTATTTCAAAACTTGACTGCCCATACATTTCAAAATGGTTTAATAATTATCTACTTAACAAGTTAAACTAACCCTGAAGATTTTAGTAGTAGATATTAAACTGCTCTTACTTACCTAACCATAAGAAAGGCAAGAGCAGATAAGTGAACTTTCTGATTATACTGTCTCTCCCTTCTTTTCTATGAGAAGTGTTATAGCCATGAAAACCTTCCTCACTAGTGCAACACATTTCCCCTAATCTATGTATAATTTGCAGTGAGTTACAACAGACCCCTTGCCTCAGAACCTTTTCTCTATTGCTGTTTTCATGAGGAAATTTTGATCCAGTGAAATATTTTGACAGTTTATTCCTTTATAATGTCGTAAACTTCATTTTGGCCCTGCTGACACTAGTAGACCTAAGTGACTATGAAAAGCCTAATTACTCAACAGAAATACACACTTGGTTTGAGGCTCTTGAGAATGCCAGGCCAGATAAACTTGCTTTCTTGAAACATCTTCTCATGTATTGTAATTACAAAAATTTCTGCTTAAATTCTGGATTCAAAAGGTGAAACACTGATAACTAAATTTATATGAATTTCACTGTTTGATTTTTTTTTTTTCTTATTGCTAGGTTACTAAATTTCAGTAATGTTGCAGATCAGATCTGTAAAACTGAAGTTGTGCCAACTTTCAGGCTATATTTTGAGAAAACTTATTACAGACTAACTTCAGTCAGATCATGCAGTAAGTGTGCAGTTTAGTTTCATCCAAGAGGGATTTATTTCAACTGCATCAAGATTGTTCCAGAACATGAACTAAAGTACAGCCAGCTGGAACATTCATTGATCCAAAACTAAATAGTTAATAACAGTGCATCATATAAGGTCTATAAACCAAGTTTCAACTTTGGAACTTCTGGAATCTGGCACTTCCAGGCTTCAGAAAAATTATTCCCAATTTGCCCACAATTAGTGAAAGTCAAATATAAGTTTGAAAGCAATTTTATATTATATTTACTTTTACCACGGACACAAAAGATTCAGAAACTCACCATGTCTGTGTCTGAAACAGGTCCAAAACTGGTGACATATATGTTGGTGAAGACTTCAGTAATACTATCTGATATAAAAAGAAAAAACAATTCAATCGCTTTTAATCTACAGTAATTCAAACTCTCTGTACAAAGTTTTCAGACATTTTGAGAAAGTTTCCGTCCTTATTTTCTTCTTTTAGACAGTATCTTGTGGCAAACACTGGGGGTCTCTACCCCATGAAATTATACTGCAGTTACAGAGAGGTTATCAGAAAAGAGTTTGTCCACCTGAGCAGTAAATTTCAATTAAATTACTATATAACTATCAGAAACCACACACATATCTCCCATTTTTCTAACAGCAAAAGTAACTACACTGTCTTGAACTTAACAAGGTAGTACAGTTCTAAACACAAAACGCCTTTGTTGCAGAGGTATTATCTCTCGTTGCATATCATTCATATTAAAGTCTTTCTGATTCAGTTGTTTTCTTCATCCCAAACCATCTTTTCAAAGCCAAAGTGTAAAACTCAGCAGTGTCCTACATTTTAATTGGGTACATGTTTAACTGATATGTTTTAACATAATAATTATTTCCCTTGATACATTATGCTCCTGAGACATTGTTATGATGCTCTAAATACTATAAATAAATAAATAAAAAGTGCTTCCCAATCATTGGAGCCAGACAGCCATGAAATCAGAATATTAAATATTGTACTGCAGGGAAAAAATAATTGCTGAGCTTTCTGTCTTCAGTTTTCAATTAGACTCAAAACTGAATGGTATTCACTAAGAGGAACAGCACACACTTGCAGGAAATTTCTCACAGCCATTGCCAGCTACTGTTTGTATTCAAGAAGGTCAATACAAGCAATTCTCTGCCTTAAAGCCAGTTTACTAGTTGGATAAGGAATATTTGAATTCATCTGCACTTTGACTCAAATGAGAATTTCCCATTCCTAAAAACAATGTAGCTGCCTGCTATCTGGGTGCTCTTGCTATAAAATTATTTCTTTATTTAAGCACCATTAAATACGGATAGTTAATAGTTTCTATATTGTAAAATACTACCTTTTGACAAATACGTGGCATAGAGAGATTTTATATGTAATTGCACTGAGGTCAATAATCAGTGCCCTCTATTGGAAGAAAGGAAGAAGTCACCTAAGATTGGAGAGGCTCTATCAGCCACCAAGGCAAAGGCAAAACTTCTGTATGCACAAACAGCAGTGTATAGTCAAAGGGATATAGTCACTGCCAGCACAGAGATGGGCATGATGCAGTGCTTTCAGCTAGCTTTTGGAGCATGAAGAAGAAACATTCCTACTTTCTCACTTTTAGAGAAACTTCATCAACCCAACACTAGAAACATGCTTATTAGAATACAGAACTTAATGAATACTTTCCTCCCCAAAATAACCTATCAGGATCCCTTCTGCTTTTTAAGCATATAAATAAAAGCTGACTCTTACTATGTGTAATTCATGCACTCTGAAAGTTCAAAATGTGCAACTCTCCTGTACACTTGCAAGCTGCTTATGTGTGTGACAGACCTCAGTAATCCCGTATGTGGCATCTATACACAAGCTGAGTTGATTTCTACTCCAAAAAGCCTAAAAACTAATTTTAAGTCAATGGACAACAGAAAGTGCTGAGTCTACACTATCTTTAATATTCAACAAGAATAAGGAAAACATCTGAAATATAATACTAAAACCACAGGTACAGTTCAGAAGACTAGTGATCATATGATGCCTGTGGGACGCTCTCCAGAAAAAGGATCATTCTTTCCAAATGGTTACTTGGCACAGGCTGACACAAAATGGAAAAGTGACAAGATAAACTACTCTTCAGGGGGTAAACCAGTGCTGCAGACACTAGCTGTGAGATTTGGCCTGTACTGTAATGACAACACAATCCTAATTACAGTTCCACGAAAAACACTTATGTTACAAATATATCACCAACGATCAAGTATCCCAGCAGTAAATAACCAAGACTAATTTCAATTATACTGATAAAATAGTAAGGAACTTTACCAAAGGCTTTAAATGCACTTGGCAAATCTGAATCTGCCTCCCATCCTGAAAAAGTTTTATGGCTGGAAGCATGGTCCTCTTGTAATCCTGCTCTAATGCAAGATGCTGTTGCTTGCATCTGGCATATTATTTGTCTTCACAATTGGTATACAGTAAATTAAAGTACATAGAATCATCATGTTGGCCCTGCATTTTAAGTTTTAATTAAAAAAAAACAACAAAATACCAAGATTCCATATTCTCACACATTACTTCTAAACACTTCTGGATCAATCCTCCCATCAGAAATGAGCAAAGACAAAGTTAAGGACAAACAAATTGGCTGCAGTTGTTGAACTGCTATTACAACAGCCTATAGATTCCTCTTGTTGGTATGCACTAACCATTTTAAATCAGGGATCCTAATTATCCTTGGATTGGAGGATGTATGTGAGTGGAGGAGCAGAAGATAAATGGATGGGGGAAAGAGGAGACAGATTCTTAGCTATAAGAACTTAATTTTGGGTTATCATAATTAAGATAAGCACTTCAATGCATATAAAAAGAACTGGTGCAAATTCATCCATGATAGCCTCAGGAATTAGAATTAATGCAAATTAATCATAGCCATTATTTTCTGTTCCCATGAACTGCCTTAAGTCAGCATAGCTCCAGGTAGCGGTGACAGCAGTAAGTTCTAGTGCAACCAACTGTTCTCCCCTGGAGTGAGTATTGACCCTAACTGCAAGTATTCCACCAGGCCACCTTTTGTTGGGGGCAAGAGAAGCTGAAAAATTAGAACAGGTGGGAAGATAGAAAACAAAGGATATAAGAAAACAGAACAAAGGAAGGCACAAGAGAAAAAAAAAAAAAAAAGGACTGAAGAACAGAAAAGAGGAACTGGCTTCCCTTTTTCTCTTCAGATTCTGCATATTTCATGTTTCTATTCATATCTTCCACATACAAGGAAACTGTTTCTTAAAGATGGAATAAGCAGACGTATAACAATTAATGAATAACTCCATTCAAAATCTGTTAATATTAGCAGTCTGAGCCTTGTTTCTTCAATGTTAGTTTCCTTAGTGTTACAATGAAGATTCATTTGAATTATAAACACAAACTCGTTGTTTCATAATCATTATCTATGAAGAAAAAGTGAATCCTTTTTCGCAACAGATATTCTAGTTTTCACTTTGAAAAAAATGAAGTCTGTACTAAAACATTCCATTTTGTCCCATCAGTAACTTACTGAAAATAATTCCCAGAAAGAACGCACAGTTTCAGAAGAACTTTTGGTTCAGAATTCATCCAGCAGACAACACAGCTACAGGCTTTTTATAACTCATATTCTGTTAAGAACAATTAAAGTTATCATAGTCCCTAGATATCAAACAGTTCTGGATCAAGACTATTTCTGCAAAAGTCAAAAGAATGTACTAAGCTAACAATTGTTCAGTGCAACATGCTTTTGTGAACAAGTCTATTTTTGTGAAAAAAATTAAGGACAAGTTCTATTCACAATATTTTTTTTCTTTAATCAATATGTTAACACCTCAGTAAAAGCTTGATTTTCAAGAGCTTGTAAATCGATGGAACCTTAGTGCTTTTGAAAAACAGCACAGTTTTTGAAGACAAACTTTTTTTTTTTGGAAGAAGAAGGGATGGATAACTCATTTATACTTGTGATCTCTTAAGTTATTCTGAATTGTTTCCTTTGAAGGCTAAACAAAGAACAAGGAACAGAAATGGATAAGAACAGTTTTCACAACTGATTTTTCCATTAAGAAAAAAACTATCAAGCACAGAATAAGACAAATACTTTCATCACATGGAGTGCTCTGAAATTCAGAAAATATAGCTTGGGTACAGTACTGATGTTTTTACCTTTTTTTACCTTTAGCAGTTGTAACTGTTGAAAGAGAAATATAGCTTAGTTTAGACCAGTTTCTCAGAAGATAAAAGCCAAAAATAAGCAAGCTGTTTCAGATGGTTCTCAAGAACTGGTTTTGGCTGATTCTCTTTACTTACTTGATCTGTAATGCTACCAATATTGAAAAAAAAAGAAAGAATAAGAAAAGTATTAAATACACCAAACTACAGATTTATAGATTCTTGTCTCCATTTAGCTAGTAGGTTTATTGTGTGTTTGAATGACATTTAGTATTTTATACATATTTAATTATCATAACCTCTCTCTGAAGATGGTAATTCTATTCTCTGCATTTTCTATATTCTTTGGAAATAGAAGCAGAAAGATTAAGCAATGCATAAATAATACGACATAGAGGATTTTGCCAAATCTGAAGTCAGTTGTTCCACATTAAATATCCACACTGGAAAACACTAGCATCATTGACTTGTCAAAAATAAGAGGAGTTCAGAGCCTAGCTGGAGTTGGTATCAGTACCTTTGTCCACTCCACTTTGCCAGCTCTCCATCTGTTGGGATACCCTTTTCTCACTGAATGATTTGTTACTCAGCAGATGAGCCAGATCAACTGAAGTAGACCACCAACCACCAAATTTGCCATGGTTGAAGTGTAACTCAATCACAGGATGAGTAATGGAGATGGTCAGAAAAGTCATATGAAAAGATTCCTCATCAGCATTTACTGATTTCTAAAAATTAGAAATTTCCACAGAGGCAAATCTGTTTTGAATTAGTTCCTTTGGAGCACCACTTATCAGGCAATTTTTAAAACTTTTCTGCTTTCTTACCAATGTTCCCTCTCAGCTTGCTTTCATCACAGAAGAGATAAACTGTGTGATGTGGGGTAGTTAGATATTTAGGATTAGATAGACCTCAGAGCTCTCCCATTCCTGAAGAACTCTAAAGATAGAATTATTTTTCTTGAAACAAATTTTCTAAATATTTCTCACATTTGAGAATAATCTGTGCTTTTCTCATTCATCTTCTCTTAGACACCAAAATAATCTTCACAGACAGTAGGATCAAAATATGTTTGGCTGGCTCTAGGTATGTTTAAAATAAATTAAAATTAGTGTGTGTTCATCTTGAAGCCTTCAGACTGAATCATCAGCAAGGTCCCAGTATTCCTTTGCAAG